TAGTTAAGAGCTGGACTCTGAACCCAAATGCTTGTTTGTATCTTGGTTCTGCCAGTTATTTATTAGCCATTAGACCTTTGGGAAAGTCACCTAACTTCTGTACATGTTTCCTTATCTGTAAAAATGAGGGTGTCAACAATACCTATCTCATAGGTCATTATGAGGAATGAATGAATCAATATTATGTAGAAGTCTTATAAAGTGTAGTAAGAATTATATAAATGTCAGTTGCTTTTATCAATATTATTGTTGTTATTTGAGCACTTACGTGCCAAGCATTCTATTACATATTCAGATTATATTAGTAAACTAGATAGACAAGACTCTTGGGAAAGTCTTTTCAGGTGCAAACTGTCCCCCCATTTCCCTATCTCAGAGTCATAACCAGGACAGAAAGTCTGTGGCTAGGGATGCCGTCACATTGGTAGGCACCAAAAATGTGAAGCCATCAAGAAAAGATTCAATTCCTAGGACTGGCATAGATAACAAAGCCACCTGACCACTTATTTCTCATTTCTGTTGCTATTATTACATTCTTGTCCTCTGTTTTGACATTAATTCTAGCTCATGTTTTCTTCCTTTCCATCACTACAGTCTACCATTTATTTTCAAGGCAAAAGTTCTTAAAAAGATACATGCCTGTAATTATCCTATAGCTGCACATCCTAAGTAAGTGGAAATATCCTTCCTCAAAATGATCATAAAAATAACTGTAATGGGCTGGTTTTAGATATTAAAATGTTGCTCTTCCCATTGTCTATTGTTAACCTTCACTTACCCATTTCTTCTCATTTATAAATTTTGCCCTCAGGAAATAGAGCAGATAAAAAAAAGAGCTGATTTCTTGGCTTAGAATTTTAAAATAGAATCTTCATAGTATGGTTTTATTTCTAAGATCTAAGTACTCACTCAAGGAGAAATATTGTTTTGTTTCAATTCCCAATGGCATCTGACTTGGAAGATCAGAAGCTCAAGCTCTGAGGACATATCATTGACCACCTTAGCGCAGGGGAAGAAACAGGAGGCCAGCCTAAGCCCCTTTCTTGTTTTAAGCAAATGTTATATTAAAAACTAAGATAAGATGATTCTCTAACCTTAGACTTTTAGGCCTCGGAAGGGCATTTGGGGAAATATTTTGGGACAGTGAAATAAATATAAGTCATAGCTATTTGGCTTACCTACAGATGTTACTTCCTTACTGTGTGGTTTTGGCTTTCAAAGTACTTAAAGCATTTACCAAAGGATTAAAGAGTTAAATGTAAAAATGAAACCATAAAAGAACTAGCAAAAATATAAACCAATACTTAAATAATCTTGGGGTGAAAAAGATGTTTCTAAGTTTAACACTGAAAGTATACTAAAAATTTTTTTTTATCTTTTTCACTGAATAAAAATTTAAAATTCATATGACAGTAAAAATATCATAAATTAAAATTGTTGCAGTACTTTGTTACGCATATGCTATATATATGTTAACATGCTATATATGTTTTATATGGAAGAACATTTAAACTAAAAAATAAAGGCCTTAACAGAAAAAGTCAAAGAGCAATATAAGGCAATTAATAATTAAAATGACACTATAAATTTAATATATTAACTTGTAAAGACATGCTCCTCGCATGTTTCTTGGAGTGGGTTATGTGTGTGTATGTGTGTGTATAAAATAAATATGTATGTGAATACATAAAAAATAAGTAGAGCCCATAAAAGTACAGACTCATATTCATAGTGGGTATTGCTGGGGAGTAGAACTACATGTACTTTTTATTTTGTTCTCTGTATTAAAGTTTCTTTTTTGGGGGGGTGGGTGGAGTACATGTTACTGTAGCAATAAGAAAAAAACTCACTTTAAAGAATTAAATGTACAAAACTAAACTTCAAAGGAAGATAGAGATGTACAGAAAGCCCTATGTCCTCTGAGCTGTAGCAGAGACAAAATAATTCTTCTTCTGATATGAATCTCATTTTCTGAATGTGTGAAAACTAAGACTTGGTAAAAAAATATTTTGTAAATTGTGAATTAATTTCTTCCTCTATTAACTTTCAGGATTTCATTTGCTGATATACGGTGAAGTCAAGAATGCTAAGCATTTTTAATTTTCCCAACTTACAGCAATTAATATTAACAAATTGATATTTATATACTGCTACAATGTATTTACCACCATGGTAAGTTCCACTGGAGGTAAACAAGGGTACTTATTATATGTTAAATATTTAATAATCCAAGCTTTACACCAAGTCAGTCTGGCATGACCCAACAAATAATGATGATTTGGTAAACTTCCTGAGTCAAGAATCTCAGCAACATAAACATTGTTTCAAATTTCCTTGGTAAACTTCTTAGTCAAGAATCTCAGCAACAGGGCGCCTGGGTGGCTCAGTTGGTTAAGCGACTGCCTTCGGCTCAGGTCGTGATCCTGGAGTCCCTGGATCGAGTCCCGCATCGGGCTCCCTGCTCGGCAGGGAGTCTGCTTCTCCCTCTGCCCCTCCCCCCTCTCATGTGCTCTCTCTCATTCTCTCTCTCTGAAATAAATAAAATCTTAAAATAAAATAAAATAAAAAGAATCTCAGCAACATAAACTCACTGTTTCAAATTTTCATGTAACGTGCTATCTTCAATAAAGATAATACTATTGGTCCACCATCAACAAAATATACACTTTTGAATAACGGTAAAAGATTTATTCTTCACACAAATTTGAAAACTCTGGTTAGAATCAGAAATCAACAATGAGCTAACTTAATTTATATAGGGTTAAATCTGTAATAGTCATTTAATAATGATGATGCTATACAACTAACATTTTTTGAGTGCTTAATACTTTCCAGGTACCAAGCTAAGCACTTAATCATTATCACTATTTAACTTCTTGAAAACTTTAGGCTCAGACATTATGCAACTTGCCCAAGGTCACATAGCTAATATGGGGATTCCAACCTACTGCTGTCTGGCTAGTAAGTGCCACATTGCGTCTTCATTAAATATTTTATACATTTAGCTACTAAGCAAATACTAGACTAAATGGCAATGATTTAAGCACTAGTAAAATAGTTTAAAATCATATACTTGTAAAAAATTATGTGAATATTTAATAATCCATGCTTGAAAACTATACAGAGCCAACAAAGTGCAAAAAATACAGACAATAGTCACACATCAAGCCAAAGCATATAAAAATGGATAGGATGAAACTTAAGCGATCAAACTAATCTTTTTTTCTGTTACTAGTTCTTCATATATATAGCAAAACAAAAATTCAACTGTTAGATCTAATAATTGGTGCATCGTTAAATTTGTTAACTTTGGGGAACAAAAGAAAATAATTTCTCATTCCTAGGTACTTTTGTTATGCTTGATCACTTAATCCTTAACTAATCAGAAATTTCATGAGATTAGGTATCATTCCTCCATTTTTAGAAAAAGAAAATAAACTGGGGTTCAGAAAGTCTGAACAATTCATATATAACTGATAAATGACAAAGTTATTTGCTTCAAGGTCTAAATGACCCCAAAGTTGCACTAGGCATAGGCTAATGCCAATGTAGGAAAGCACAATTAGTAATAATGAGCTGTACTTTAAAGTAATGTTTATGTGTGTTGATCACAGATTACTACACTTATATAACTAAATTAGAGATCAAGCTAGCTTTCTGGCATGAAATGCAAGACTCAGGCATGAAAACATTTGCAAAAGTGTATAAATCATTTGCCTTTTTTTTTTTTAATTCTCTACTTGAAGATTTAAGAAAGAAATAACTCCTTGATCAAAATACATGCACCCATTTTCCATGACTAAAAATCTAGTAATATAAGATAAATTCAGATTATTTCAGAATTTTGGACTGAAAAGATTTTAAAAGCTAAAAGGAAAAACAGGATGTTTAAGATAAATATCTGAAAACAGACATTTTAGCTTCTACTTTTTTGCATCACAACATTCAATACTCCAACAAAGCCAACATTTTCAGGTTGTTAAATCAAAATCCTCTCTCTTAAATACTTCTTTTAAGAAGTAGGAATTTAGAAACACATCACAGTGAACTATCTTGGAAGGTTCATAGCACCTACAATCGTTTCATATAAAATCAGAAATAGAAGCATTTTTTTTAACACTACATTTATGCTATTTTTATGCTACATATTATATTCTCACCATCCTTTAAAGTTCCTACTTCATAGAATCATAGATTTTAAAGTTATTTAAGACCACCTAGTTCAATAACTTCATTTTCATAAAGGAGGAAATTAAGATCCAGAGATATCAGACTAATTTCTCCATGACTGTTTTGTTGTGAATTAGTGCTGGAGTAGGGAATGAACCCTAGATTTCCTGATATAGAGTCCAAAACTTACTACATTACACCACCATACCACCTTCATTTCTATTTTGGATAGTGTCAAGTAGTAACTATAGCATATTTAAATCCTGGGTCCCCAAGCAAACATTTCAGAAGTCCCCACTCTTCTATTGAGGAAGTTAAACATAATCTTAAAGTGGATGAGTACTTAATATTTATTCTAAATGTATACTGGTCAGGTACAACTTCTGAATAAACAGTCTCCTGATAAAAGGGGTGCAGATTATTAGTGGCCCCACCTACAATGTAAAGTACTCTTAGAGAATACTTAAAACAGTAATGACATATTTGGATACTTGTTTACAATTTACAATGTCATTTCACATATTATCTTAGCCAAAGACTCTCAACTGTTTGTTTTTAAAAATCTATATTATTGAAATATAACTTAAATACCATAAACCAAAGCAAAACCCATTTAAAGTGTTTGGTTTGAGGTTTTTTGGTTGTAGTTTTTGACTTAAGACAACAAAGATTTAGTAGCAGTGTATGTGAATAGGTATTTGGGAGTGCTTAGTTGGATGCTTCTGGCTCCAACTCTCTTATAAAGTTGCAATTAGGTTGTCAGCCATGGTATAGAGTAACCTGAAGGTTTGAATGGGGCTGGGCATATGCTTCTATGATGACTCACTTACTTGGCTCTTGGAAATAGGTCTTAGGTCTTCTAACCACACTGACCTCTTCACTGGGCTGCTTGAATATCCTCACAATATGTCAGCTGGATTCCCCAAGTTCAATGAGTTCTGAAAAACATACACCTGCATAACCACTTATAATCAAGACACAGAACATTTCTTTCATCCAAATAGTTCTTTCAGGAACCTCACCTCACTTGTGCCCCCAGAAGAGGTGTTTTTGTTGTTGTTGTTGTTGTTTGCATTACTTCATGAAACCTGTTGCAGTCATAGACATATATCCATATACTGGGTTACCATATAAACTTATTTCTTGCTATGCAGTTCGTAACTCTGCATTAGAGGGATGAAAGACCTTCAATATGCATATGAGGAAAGGCAGAATGGAAGGTTAATCTTCCCAACAAACTTGCTCTAATGTAAGCTGCTTAGAAATGGTAACATTCTCCAGTTTTAAAATTTTTCTTCATCACTTTGTTGACCTGGAATTCCTGCTCCTGTTCAAGATGCTGTTCTAGTTTGGCTTTCTTCTGTTGCAAATGCATCAGTTTTCTGGAAAGCTCATTAGTGAGGAACTCTTCTTCCTTCTTGTAATTTACAACAAGGGTATCCTTGCAGAAAGAGAAACTTGGCTTTCTATTACTGTTGATAAGTTTGTATTTTCTAGAACTTCATGTAAATGGAATCACAGAATATAACTTTTGTGTAGGGCCTCTTTCACTCTACATGTTTTTGAGTTTCATTCCTGTTGTATGTATTGCTAGATCATTCCTTTTTATTGCTGAATAGTGTTTTGTTGCATGGAAATACCACAAAAATTATTATTAAACTTTGAATTTTACCAATAAAAGATTATTGGACTTTTGTCTTGCTATGTGAAAACCTACATAATACCCTTATTGTGCAAAGTCTAAAATATTTGCTACCTAGACCCTTAAAGAAAAAGTTTGCGGACCTCAAACTAGCTGAATGGTCATGAGCTGAGAGCTTGATAGAAATGCAGAATCATCAACAATACCCTAGAACTATTGAATTAGAAACTGGATTTTAGGGACGCCTGGGTGGCTCAGTCGGTTTAAGCGTCTGCCTTCGGCCCGGGTCATGATCCCAGGGTCCTGGGATGGAGTCCCACATCGGGCTGCTTGCTCAGCAGGGAGCCTGCTTTTCCCGCTCTCTCCCTCTGCTTGTGCTC